CAGGAAGAGATTTTGTTTTATGGAGGTGGGGAGGGGTAGTTTTGAGGGTTTTGTTTCTTAATGACAGAGAAATTCTTAAAGACTTGAATGGAAGATTAAGTTACAGAGAAAAGGCCATATGGACTAGATCATATTTCCAGGATTCAGGTAATAACACAAGTTTATCTGAGTTTTCTGGGAAGAAAGCACTGTTCTGGATAGGAACTTGCAGCACCAGAATGCTTTCTGGCCAAGAGTAGTTTTGAGGGTTTTGTTTCTTAATGACAGAGAAATTCTTAAAGACTTGAATGGAAGATTAAGTTACAGAGAAAAGGCCATATGGACTAGATCATATTTCCAGGATTCAGGTAATAACACAAGTTTATCTGAGTTTTCTGGGAAGAAAGCACTGTTCTGGATAGGAACTTGCAGCACCAGAATGCTTTCTGGCCAAGAGCTGGGTTTTGGGGCTTGGGGTTGCTTTTGGAAAATACAGCAAGTCTGAAAATAGACTCACAATAAAAATGCCACTTCAACCCAAACCAGAGATGCAACCACCAGATTCTGTAATGTGTTTGGATTGTACAGTATGCTGATGCCTTTGACACAGCTCACACAGACTTGGGCAAGACCCGTCCACAACACATGGGACAACCGCACCCGTGTGCACACACGCACACATGCATCCACACGCACAGACATGCACAACGCACACACGTATCGCGAGCTAAGATGAAGAGATCATTCTGTGAACATAAAGCACACCTCTCCCCCAAACCGCTTCCCCACGGAACATACCGGCGGTCAGGGCCCGAGAGGCCTCTCCCTCCCGGCCCTCCTGGCTGCTCCCTTCCTCTCCTCTAATTCTCACAAGCTGTTTTCTTTAGGCCTGGGGAACTGGCGGGCACTTTAATGGCTCTGTGGCCTGGGGGTTTTCTCCAGTCTCTCATTATCCTCCTGGCTGGGGGTGCCATGGGCCTGAGACCAAAGGACAACACACTGGGAACCGCAGAGCCAAGACTTTTTGGGGGCAGAGAAAGGACAACTCTCTCTTTTTGGAAAGCTTGGTGTATGGAAGGTCCTGGGGATCCTCATGTGGACCCCTAAAAGCCTCTGAGGCATGAGGGGGACCACCTCAACATAGCAGAAGGCAGCATAGTCTAGTGGTTAAGAATGCAGGCATTGGGAGCAGCCGGCTTGGGTTCGAACCTGGCCTCAGCTGCTTCCCAGCTGTCACCTCGGGCAGGTCACTCAATCTTTACAAACCTACCTCATCATTTGTAGAGGAGTCAAGCTGAGATCAAGTGAGACTGTGAATGTGAAGGGCTTGCTGCACAGAGGGCCTGGTATACAGTAGGTGCTCAAGTGATAAATACTATTACTCTTCTAAGATGTCTGCGTAGCTACTGCCCTCACCTGTTGCAAGCCCACAGTGGTATGTCCCTTGCTGAGGCAATTCTGCCCACTTCCATTCCATCCTACCAACACAGGGGGCGTCACACCCTATCCCTGCAGAAGCTCTGCTCTTTCCAGCCTCTTTGCCTTTGTTTATGAACCTCTCCTCACTGGAATGCCCTCACCCTGAACCTATTAAAACCCCACCTCCTCCTAGAAGTCTTCCAGGCCCCTCCTAGTCTCAGGGATCTCAGGCTTCTGGAGCCCTCCCAGGCCCACCCAGCTGTCTCCGCATCTGTCTCTGAGCAGGGCTGTGAATAGCTTCCCAAGAACGGCCCTCATCCTCTCCTCCTTTGCCTCCCCCATAGGAGACTGCCTCACCCGAAACATACTCTCTCACTGCACGCAGACTGAATGGAAGGAAACTAAGGACCCAGTGACCTCTGAGGATGGCCACCTCTAAAAGACACTGAGGCTCAGAACTCACCAGTCTATGACACGAATCCTCATTTTTTCACACATGGAGGGAAACTACAGAGGAAAAAGAGACATGTTGGTGTGGGGTCCTTTTGAAGAACCAAAGTCTAGGATACAAGTGGGATGCTGGGGAGACTGGGAGCCTGGGACCTTCTGGGGTGGGCCCCCAGGGGCCAAGGCTCACCATGGCAGGCAACGTGATGCTCTGGTTCCACTGAGGGTTGGCTGTCTTCTCCAGGATCTTGCTGCAGAGCTAGAAGACACAGAGACAGGTGGGTGGAGCTCCACAGGAACACTGGATGCTTTCAGAGACCACCACACCAGCCAGCGGCCATTCTCTGTCACGCTGGCCACCCTTTGGGCTGGGCGGAAGGCCCAGGCCCTGTGCAGTGGGTTCAGACACAGGAATCTTTGCAGAGACAAAAAGCTCCATGGTCAGTCAGACCGAGAACTAGAGGTGTCAGACCCAGAACTGGGGAACAAATTGCCTGAATGCCACAGCCCTTCACCCTTAGCTCATACCTCTGTCTGGAAATCCCCCTTCCCCACCTCCCATTATGGCCATGACCCTAAATGTGGGGTCCCTGAGTCCAGACTGGCTTTCCCATAGGCCCCACAACCTGAGGCACTCCCTTTTGCCCATCAGTCCAGATCACCTGCCCCTTTGGAAGATTGTAAACCCTAATAGTTTAGAGGTAGAGGAAGAGGAGGAGAGAAGGAAGCTTAAAGGGCTAGGGCCGAGGCCATGCACCGGCATCAGAGAGTGAGAAGAAAATTCAGTGAAGATACAAACCTCATGAGCCACAGTCTGGCTCGGCATAGCCCTGCTCTTAAGACTGGGCTTTTCACAAACAAGGAACCTAGCAGAGGTGAAAACCAGATCCAAACCAGAGGCTTGTGTGCTCTGCTCTGCCCGCAGAGTCCCAGGGCAGCACCAGGGCTCTTAGCCAGCCCCGGGCATCCTGTACTCACACAGGGACAGCAAGCAATGACTCAGTTTCTGATATATAGACCCTGGTAGGTTCTCATGTCCTATGCATAAAAATAATAAGCAGCCTTTTTCAGAGCATTTACTACGGGCCCTGTATTGTGTGAAACATTTTACATGCATTATCTCATTAAACGAGCATCTGACTTAGATCAGTGGTTTCAGTTCCTCCACGAGATGATGGTACAGCCAAGACTTTGTCTCTATCTTTGGTCCACCCAGTGCTGGCCCTGTGAGAAGAGCCCAGGCAAAGGCTGGGACAGGGATGGGTACCAGATGTGGCCCTTGTGTGATCAATCCGACAGAACAATGGGCAGAGTGGGGCCCAGTTTTCAGAAACGAGTATAAAAAGGCTTCTTAAAAAAAAAAAAGGATGCTCAACTTCTCTTGTAATGAAAGATGCACAAATAAAACTAATGAGTTACTATTTCTCACCCATCAGATTTATAAAAATCTCTGAAGTCTGGCAGCCCCTCTATTGGCAAGGCTTTGGGGATGCTCGACCTCTCCAGAGGGTAACTGGCTACTATCTATCAAAATTACAAATGCAAACACCCTTTGACCTACCAGTTGTACCTCCAGACATTTATTTATTATACAGAAATACTTGTACATGCACAGAATGGCATACGTATAAGGTTATTCACTGCAGCATGGTTTAAACTGGCAAGGATTTGGAATAGCCCATGTGTCTACCGATAAAGGACAAGTTCAATAAATTACTGTCCATCCACACAATGGAGGGCTATGCAGCTCTAAAAAGAATGAGGACTGCTGTGTAATATGAAACGGTCTCTAAGTTATCCTAATTAAAAAATTAAGTACTGGGGGGTGTCATGTACAACCCGTTGTCTATAATTAATACTGTCGTATGGTATATTTGAAGGTTGTTAAGAGATTAGATCCTAAGATTTTTCATCACAAGGAAAAAATATTTTTTTCTTTTTTTCAGGGGGTATTATTTATATGAGGTGATGGATATTAACTAAACTTAATATGGTAATCATTTCACGATATGTGTAAGTGAAGTCATTATTCTGCATAACTTCAATTTATATGGTTCTGGATGTCAATCATATCTCAATAAAACTGGGGGGGAGGATTAAAAAGCAAAGTGCAGAACAGTGAGTGTAATGTGCAACCATTTGTGTTAAAAGGGTAAAAGCTAAGGATTTATCATCAGATTTGCTTGCATATGCAATAATAAACCTGAAAGATGCAAAGGAAAGTAACTGCAGTGGTTTTATTTGCAAGGGAGGAAATGAAATGATGAACTATTGGATGAGTACAGAGCAAGAGGGAGAGTTTTCATAATAGATGGTAGAGATAGGTGATAGGGATAGGATGATAGATGATAAAGATAGGTGATATATAAATGATAGGTAGGTAGGTAGGTAGATAGGAAGTTAGGTAGTGAGATAGATGTATATAGGTATATATAATAATGTATTACATAATTCAAAAATTAAATGAACAAAATTTTAAAAGGAAAAGGAAGGCCTCTTTAACCAGACACAGCTGAGAGACCCTGCCAAATCATGCCTCAGCCCTCTAGAACAAGAAAGCACAGTCTGTCCCCACATTCCCAGGAGTGATTTAGGGAGTCACAGGCCTCCTCCACAGCAAGAGAAGCACTTCCACCTGGCTAGCCTCCGGGGCTCCCTCTGAGAGAGTCACTGGGATGTGGGTCTGGGAACCTGAATAATAGCTGATCCCATGGCCGCACACCAGGCCAGCGCTGCCTCGGGTCCTAGAAGTCCCCAGCAGCCTTCCCACACCCTGCTGCACTCCCCCGACACTCAGCCAAGGCAGCACCACGCTTCTCCTCCTCCTCCTCTTCTCCAAGCCTTTTTTTTAAACCCTCCTCCACTTCCTGATGGAGTGTAATTAGTATGACTTTTCTGGAGGGCTATTTGGTCACCTTCGTCAAATACTTAAAAATAAGCATGCTCTCTGACCCAGTTCTAGAAACTTCACTCTGGAAAAACAATCCGAGTGTGGACAAAGATTGATTTGTCACAGAGTTGTTCATAAAAAAGGAAAACTGCGACAACAACAGAAAATTATCCAAAGGTAGGTTAAATGTTATGTTATACTCTTCTCATGGAACATTATGCAGTTATCAAAAATTTTATTTCAGAGGCTATTTAGTAACCTAAGGAAATATTAGATGATAAAAGCAGTTTACCAAACTGCATAGGTAGGGCTGATTGTCATTACTGGTGGTAGTTACATGTTCTATAAATCACCGTGAACACTAAATTAGCGAACAATGAGCCATTGCTCCTAGGGGAAATACAGGGTTAGATTCCTGCCAGTCTCTGTCATGACATTTTTGCCAACTAACCAATACATAAGCCCGGTTTACGCGTGTTCCTGTTTAAAGACACCTTATTTAATATACACTGTTGATTCATTAACATTGAATTCATGGCCAACAGCACTGTAACTCATGCCTAAATGAAGCTTATCTAACAGATTTTCTCCACGAGGTATGTTACAGCCTTCTAGCACTTAGGAATGCTAGAAAGCATTTCAACACTACACTTTGGGGCTTTTTTAAACAGTGAAATCACCAATTAAGAGCAAAAACAAAAATGCAAAGAATATGACACTAAGTAGACCGAGAAAGGGACACTTATTGACAGGATAAGAGCTGACACAGAAAGGAGAGTGTCACGTTGTCCCAACTGAGCTGGCAACATGCAAGTCAGCCAACTCAAATTTTTTGTCACTCCGCACATATGATCACAAATGATCATGAAAGCACCATGAGTACTGAGTTTGAGGTTACAAATAAATTTTACCAAGTTGGCAAATCTATAAATACAGAATCTGCAAATAATGAAAATCAACTGTAACCTAAATCCAATTTTTTCCAGCAGAGGAATGGGAAGGACAGAGCGGGTGAGAACTCCAGAGAAGAAAACATATTCGCAGGAAATATATACAAACGTTAACAGTAGTTATTTCCAGGGTGGTGTCGGGTACAGAAATACGGTTAATTTTTTACAGTTAATTTTGTTTCATTTTCTTTGGGTTCCTCTGATTCTTTTCAAAAAAAAAAATTTTTTTTTTTTTTGCAATTAATAGGTTTTATTCTTGCCTTCAGTGGAAAAACAAGTTGTTTTAAAGTCTCCCACTCCGCCCTCCAATATTTCCACTTCCCTTCTCTCATATCTCATGAAGACATGTGTGTGGGTGCATACACGTCTCCCCAGCTCCCCTCTCCTCTCCCACCCCCACCTATCTCTTGATGGTTCTCACATTCCTCTGGTAGCTGGGCCAAATCACGTTTCACATGTTAGATAATAGTGCCACCAAGTGTCCATAAGAGGAAATGCAAAGAGGGCAAGGCTGGGGTAAATGGGCACACAGGGGACTAAACTCTAGGACTCTAGGATTTTGGATGTGATGAGAAAAAGTGACGCACAAGCAGACTGGGAGAGCGAGACAGAGAGGCAGAATGAGACAGGCAGAATGAGACAGGCAGTAAGGATAGCAGAGCAAGTGGGAGGAGGAGGCCATGATGAGGTGGCTAGGGGAGGGAGAAGGGGACACAGAGGCCTGGGGACCACCAGGCTAAAGCTTTCAAGAGAGAAGGTCTCAGCTGCCTCCTTCACGATAAGCCCCTTCCTTCTAGAGGGAAAATAGAGGGTGTAGCTACTTGCACTAGCCCAGCCACCAATCAGCTCTATATAGTCCCCTCCCTTGGCCAGGTTCCCCACTCCCATCTCCTCCCCCAGACATCTGCGCCTTCCTAGAAAGATCCCCAGGGCCAGCCTAGGATATTCAAAGCAAGAGAAAACCTAGGGACATCAAGGTGCTGACAAGGACTCAGGAGTAGCCAGGAGCCCCGAGCTCTGAGACTTAGCTCCAAGGGAAGCCATAGAATTTGAAGGCAGGTCAGTCTTGGCTCTAACCATCATCAAAGCACCCTACCATCCCTGGGAATGCAGAATAAAACAATCTCAAGACACAGCTTTCCCATTTATCAAATTGGGAAAATTGGTTTCAGTCCTTAGATCAAGTGTTCTATAAGATGGTCCAGTGAGTCTTCCCACTACCTTCCTACCTTCTTTCATCCCACTGCAATCCGTCCTGAGGCCAGGAAGAGGGCATCAGACCCTGACCCCAAGCCGAGACCAACACTGCACCTGGGTAGGACGGAAGTGAGCATTTTACAGCCCAATCGGAATGAGTTTAAAATCTGAGTTACCTCTCCCACAAACACTTCCTTTGAGACCCTGTGTTAGACTGGGGATGGCAGAGCCAGCTGGGAGGGGTTCCCACGGCCAACTTCAAGACAGTTCACACATCTAGCACAATAACGACTGATTTTAGCACACTGAATTAATAAAAAAGTATTGAGGTCCATACTGAGGAGAAAGAAAGCAGTTCTTTACAGAAAGATACCAGGTAATAAAGAGAAGGAATGATAATGAGAAAATCACCACTTTGCAATCCCAAGTAACTGACTCGTTCAGGCAAGGAGGTCGAGCTGTGTAGATCATTAGGTAAGAGGTTGCTAGAAACAGGATATCCACACAGCACCAAGATATCACCCACAGATTACTTGCAAACTGCAAAGGAGAGCATGTGCTTTGACAAAGGAGAGATCTGGAAACACCACCTTAACCACTGATGAAGAAGCAAGCTGGCATTATTGCTTTCTATTGTCATGTAATATGATGTGAGGAACACTGTTGTTTAATCTAAGTGAAGGCCATGCCAGTGGGTGGGTGTTCACTGTACCATCCTTTTAACTTTTCTTTATGTTTTAAAATATTAAAAATAAAGTTACGAAATATGTCTATTATTTACCAAAAAACACTAGAAAAATAGTCACTAAACATGAATTTTGTATGGTGCTTTACAAGGAACTTTATTTTTACTTTTTTCTGTATTTTTTCTAAATTCCTTAATAAATATGTGCGTCAATAATAAAAGAAGAAAGGAAAGAAACATAAAAGAGGGGAAAGGCAGTCTGAAGGTAGAAGGGGGAGAAAATATGCCCGTCTTAGGCCTTTGCATATTCAAGATGCGTATTCAAGACCCAGTTCCTGAAATCACACCTGGGCTTCAGCAGTGAGCCCCCCTGACCACCCAGGTCCCTTCTCCAACCTCAGGAGTCCCTTTGGTGGTGAGATAGGGAGGCAGACCCTGCTTCTTTCCAAAATGAATCTAAGAAGAGATTAAGTGAAAGGAAAATTGCAAAATGCTGTGTAAATGGGTACCCACACCACTTCCATCAGCAGCCTCACCTTCTAGCGTTTACTGTTAATTTTTTTTAACTCCTCTCCAACTGTCCTGTACTGCCCCGCTGTCTCACCCCTCCGAGACTCTGCCTCCAGAGCAAAGGGGGAGCCGGCTGCAGGGTCCCTACCCTCTATCCACCCAGCTCAGTCCTCAGCTCTCTCCTCTGCCCTGTTCCAATTTTCCTATTAACATCCAAGTTATCTGACTGAACCCCCACACTCCCCGTGCCACAGCAGACGAAACTGTCCAAAGGGTTGGTGGGTCCATGGAGGGCGCTGACCCCACCCTGCCAACTGCCTGAAGTCTACATAAAGCTCAGAGGCTCCTCCACAGAGGGTCCAGGAGCCAGCAGGAACAGAGTCTGTGCCCACCTGATCTGTCCTTTTTCCAGATTTCCAGGCATTTCCGCCACAGTCTCTGCTCTGAGCTTATGGAGTAAATAAGAGTGGGTTCTTATTTCCCCACAAGTCAGAGAAACAGATGCTAACAAATACTGGGACAGAATGGAAAACGAGCCCTAAGAGAGCCATGCATACAACGCCTTGAGCCTTGAACTAGTCCATCAGGCTTGTCGGGGGTGTAGAAGCTGGACACCGAAAGATGCAACACTTTGGGGGGAAAGGCCAGAAAGGGCACCAGAGTGCATGCAGGGAAGTGTGAGGCAGGGAAGATGAGAGAGGGCACACGGCAACCATGTGATCTTCACGGTTTGTACCGTAAACAATAATATAAATGGAGCTACTTTAAAATGGAGCCAGAGCTGCCATGCCAGAAGAACTACCTTTCGCATCTTATACCTCAAACCTTGGAACATTAAAACGGGGCAAGACAACCTTTGGACCGGGCCTAAGCAAATTTGTGCCCCCCAAAACCTGCAAAGATAACAAGAAAGCAGTCATTATGACTACTAGACTGATGACTACTGGACTGAGAATAGAAACATTATTTAAAATTCACATCACTATGCTATGTTACTGTACCAATGGAAATGCCTACTTTCTCTTTGTGTGATTGTTCCCTTTCTCTTTCTCAGAAATATCCATTGCCTTTGTCTCCTAACCAGACATTATTTGGATTTCTACCTGAATCAGTGGTCCCCAAATAGCATGTTGATGCCAAAAAAAAACAAAAAACGCTCGTTTGCCTCTCATTTGAAAAGCTCTATTTATTTTTAAATTAATAGTACCCACGCAAGGGCTCTGCCCAACTCCACGCTGAGCCCAGCTCCAGTGCTGCATCGCTGCACCTGCCCACTAGGGGCACTGTTTTCTCACTCGCACAAAGACTCTGTGGGCTAATATTGACCATGTAGATGAGGCTAGAAAGTTTGGGCAGAACCAGGCAGTCAGATTATACGTTTTAAACTTCATTGTACAGACAAGGCTGTGTTTTAGATTAATTATTCTGGTGGCTTTCTATGGGGAGAGTTCGAACAACGGAAGGGACCCCAGGTTGCTGTGTGGTCCTAGGCAGAGATGACAGTGGCTCTGGGGACAGAGAGAAGGGAAGGGCCTTGGGACGTGTTTGAAGTCAAGAGCTAGGGGTGGCATGTCTGACGTAGAGATATTTTTAAAAGAGGGAAAAATCAAAGTAGGCCTCGATTTTTTGCCTTCGATGGTGGTACCTGGTTAGGATGGAGGCTCCTGGAAATGAGCAGTGTGGGGCAAAAGACTACTACCCTTACAAAGGTCCCAAGGAGCAGCATATAGAGATGCGCAGAGAGGCATGGGAGGTCTCAGATTGAAGGGAGGGTCAGAGTAAAACAGAGCTGTGGGAATCCTCTGTGCAGAGATGACAGCTGAAGGCTGGGAGTGGCCAAGGCTGCCAAGGACGGCTGGTATAGTGTGCAGACAAACGCTGGGGGACACCAGCCTATATGGTGGGAGGCAGGAGGGGGCCCAAGCAGAAATCAGCAGGGGCTGCAGCAACAACCCTGCCTCTCTGCAGGAAGGTGGGCTGCAAGGAAGGGAGGAAGGTATCGGTGACCCCTAGTTCCCCCACCAATGTGGCCTTTCTCTGCCCAACTCCTACTACAGATTTTTGTAAATAATCATCATGTTTTTATTACATATTTTTAAAGTTTCTCTGTCTTTATGGCTTTGAATCTAGCTTCCACTGAATTATTTAATTTTCTCGCAAATAGTCCTCTATCTATCCACTGTCCACTTGTCCTCCCCGTGTCCATCCACACCTATGTGTCTTTCTTGGACACCCCAGGCAGACCCGCCCACGTGTGTGTGCACTGCAGCCCAGAGAGCTGAGCATGTGCAAGCGTCTCGCCTCTCGTCCCACAATCAGCCCCATCTGTGCACACTCACCTCTGATGGGGGTGTCAAGGGCAGCACGTGTGCACGTCACTCCACCCCATGCTCTGCCCTCCCACGAGAATCTTCCTGTATCTTTGCTCCTTACCATTTTCCCTGCGAAGCTGACCTCCATGAAGGGATCCACCAGGTTCTTCTTGTTACTGTCAAAGCCGAAGATCTGTTTCACGTTGTCCAACACGGCATCGTCCACTACAGAGAAGGATGTATGGGTCACTGGCAGCCTGCTGGCCCACCTCCAAGCCCCGCCGTTCTGCCCGCCTGTCTATAAGCGGCCTCGGGACCCCCGGGAGACACCACGGCACCCGCGCAGCCCCGGGACACCCAGGAGGGAGGGCAGCCTCGGAACGGCAGCTCTTGAGGGCACCGCACCAGCTCCCCACCCAGCCCCCAACAGCTCGTCCACTGTCCCCCTGCTCTCCAAGGCTTTGGGAACAGGTCCACCAAAGTGATCCGTCAGGAATCTACATCAATATGGGCAGTAAACACTCTAGAAAAGGACTGGAAATTGTTGTAATATCCCATTTGGGTGTCTGTTTGACGTTTTCCTTTATATTCATTAGCACAGTGATTTACCTGAGGCTAACCAACAAGTTAATTCTGGGTATTTTTGTGCTCGCTTCGGCAGCGCATATACTAAAATTGTTTTTTTAAAAAAAAAAAAAGAAACGAATTTTAATCTACATTACTCCAAACCAATATTTCACTAAATCAGCCATATTATTTATATATATATGTATAGATAGATAAATGTGTGTGTATGCTTTAATGTATACATATGTATATGTTATGTATAAATGTACATATGTATATGGATGAGAGAGAAAGGAAAGGGACAGTTCAAGATTATATACTAACTAATGTCTACATAAATACAACAAAACACAACAATTAATATTTGTGTCCTATTGACCCACCTATTTGTTTCATTTATATTTAAACAATGTTGCAGAGAATTAAACATAGAGCGCCTTCACCTTGAGCGAAGCAAACATTTCTATTTCCCAGGCCCCCTTTCGAAGCTCACCAGCCTCACTCTGCATAGTTTTAACCAATAAATGCAACATATTTTTTTAAGCATGTGTTTTAATGCCCATGTAATGCCCATTACTTATTTAAAAGCTTTCTCCTTTCATCATGCATGATTTTGGTTCCAGTATGGCTGTACAGAAGGAACCCATTTCATTTATCGATGTTATTAGTCAAAGCAGAAACCCTCAAATAATTTGCTTCATGCAAATCTTGTAAACAGGGACCCATGTAGCAAATGTTCTCCATTGCTGTGAACAAGGAGCAGCTCGATCATGCCAATGCAAGCTCCAAAACAGTGGCTCACAGGCCACAGCACAACCAAACCACCTGGGGAGCCTTTAAAAACTACCAATGTGCAGCCTGGGTTGATACCCACAACTCTAGAATATCCAGTGTACTGTAAGTCCCCACTTAACGTCATCAATAAGTTCTGCGACTTAAAGTGAACCGACATATAAAAAAACCAGTTTTACCATAGGCTGATTGATACAAACAAGAGTTAAGTTTGTATGGCATCTCATCGATGTTACAACGAAAGACATTGGACAAAACATTATTTGAGGAACTGCTCGAATTCCCCCAGCATCTACTGAGCACACTGGATGAGGCCCATACAGAAATAACCACTGTGATAAACCAGGCAGTGGCCACACTAGCCTTCCTGGGAGGATGAGGACATGGCCACAGCTGGGGTGACCCACTATCCCAGTTTGCAGGGGACTGAGTGGTTTCCCAGGATGTGGGACTTTCAGTACTAAAACCAGGACAGTACAAGGCAAACTGAACACTGTTCTTCATCTGTGGAGACACCGAGCTCTACCAACATTTCAGAACCGCTTCTTCAGCCCACGGTCTATCAACTTGCAGGTTGGGCTTCCTCGAGAAGGGAAAGAAATTCAATGAGATCCAACCCTGAGCACAAAACAGAGGGTCCGGATGGTGCTGACTCCCCATTGAGAACCAAGAAAATGGGTTCATAGAGGCTGAACAACCAGACTAGGCCTAGGAGGATGCTGAAATGGAGCCCAGGGATAGTTATTAGTCTCGATTTCTTGCACTTCTGTAACTCCACCAGCATTTACATTACTTCTCATTCATTCTGATCGCTTTTCTGTTAAGAACAGCAAAAACTCTTAGGAGGAGTTTTTAAACCTAGAGAGGGGTTGAGGCTTCCCCAGAGGGCTGAGTGGAGGGAGAGTTGGGCTGGGCACTGATGCAACAGACCCAGGGGGTGAGGAAGTCAGGCCAAGGGGAGGCAGGGAGGGAGCAGAGGGCAGCCCCTCCATCTCCTTCCCCCCAGGGAGCTGACCTGGCCCAGCCCAGGGTGCCCCCTCCTACCCAGAGTCCCAGACTCACTCTGTGGCAAGTCCTCGGCCCTGAAGACCCTCAGGCAGAAATGTGCTCCTCGAAGGGCCACGCCAGTCGGCCTGAGCAGGTTGCCTTCTATGTCCTCCTTGTCTTCAGAGGGGTCTTTCCTCTCCAGCTAAAATGCAAACCAAAGATGATTCCTTTAAGTGCTCTCAAACACAACGTTTTCCCTTCCACAACCAACAGCACTGAAATGGTGCATTTCGAAGAAAAGCAGGTCTCGCCCTGCTGCTTACTAGCATGCGATCTCAGGCTGGTTCCTCACCCTGAGACTCTGCTTCCTCACCTGGGGAGCGGAGACGAAGGTACCGACCTCACAGGCTATTGGGAGGATCGACTTTAATACTGATGAAAATACATGTGGCACACGGTGGGCATTCAAGAACCTTAATCACCTTCCCACTCCACCCGTTTGAAAATAGTGCAAAAGCAACATGTCTAAGCTGACTGCTCTGTCTTCAGTGACGTCTGTTCATGCACTCAATGCGTATTTACCGAGTGACTATTAAGTGTCAGCATGGTGCCGAAGGGCCAGGGATGCAGCAGTGAACATGATGGACAGAGGCCCTGGCCCCACGGAGTTCACCATCCTGCAGGGGAAGCAGACCTTTAAGCAAGGTCTTTTTCTCCCATTCCACTGACTGGATTACAGACCTGATGATGGCAACTGGAGCGAACATCTTGAACCATGATGAAAGCTGCACGATGAAGATGATAGAGCACAGACCAAGAGCCCAGGTCTCTCATCATTGGGGGAGCACTGTGCCTATTCTGGACTGCCTACCCAGGCATTTATGAGGGAGAGAAATAAACTTCCGTCTACCTTAACAACTATTTGGGGTATCTCCGTTACAGCAGCTGAACCTGTATCTTAATTCACAGGGGCCCAGATAAGAGATGATGGGAGCCTGACCTTGGACTCTGGTCTTGGGATGAGAAAGAGGAGAAGCATGCACTGAGGCTGCCATGCCAACAGTACTGGCCATTTGTGTGCATGTGGACCGACAGATGTTGGACTGAGGGATGAAGAATGAAACTCGGGCCTCTGGCTTGGGAAACGAAGTGGAAGACGGTGCCATTTCCTAAGAGGTCACCTAACACAGGATGGGAAGCAGATGTGAAGGGGGCAGCAGATAATATTGGGTTTTCATATATTAAGTTAGAGGCGCCTAAGGGACATGTTAATGTGGCTTTATTACAAGGCAATCGAACCTGTGTCTGGAACTCAGATGGTCCAGGCTGGAAATAAGCACTTCAGGAGTCTCAGGTGGACAGAGATGGGCTCCTCAATAGTAAGGGTCAAGGATACAGCAAAGAGGCAGGCAGAGGAATTTTACTGAACCATTGCATTTGAAGGATCCCTTTAAAACGGGCAGGGGCAGAGGCAGAGAGAATCACTAACGCTAAGGTAGGAGAGAGTTTCAAATAAGATCCAGGCTCTGGAATCAAACACTGTGGAGCAACGGAGCAGATGAATGACAGAGAAGTACTCCTGGGAGCTGGCAAAGGGTGACCGTTAAGTGAGTCACCCTTTCAGGGAGGAGAGTTGGTGGATATAATACTGAAAAGCAGAAAGAATGAGCAGCTGGTAAACGTGCAGCGAAAGGGACCCTTCCCAGAAGCTGATGGCAGGAAGGAAGGCGAAAGCAGCTTGGAGAGGAGGAGTGGGGAGAAATGAGCGAAGGCGAGTGTGTCTTAAGACAGGGAAACCTTGAGCCTGGCACAGATGAAAGGGCAGGAGCCAGAGGAGAAGGGCAAGAAAAGAGACCGGGAAGAGAATGTTGAAAAAGATGACAGATGACAGAAGACCGCACATGGCGAAGGAGATGAGGAGTGTGGAAAAGGTGGAAGACAAATGAAGACGGGCCATGAGCTGAGGACTGAGGGAGATTCAGGAGCCCATGCCGATCACCGCTGTGCCGTCTGGCTCTCTAAGGGAGGCTGAGCTTGGAGCTCAGGAGAGAGAGGCAAGTTGAGAAACAGCTACTGCAGAGGAATGGGATAAAAATTAAACGGCACCCAAGGAAAAGAGGATGTTGGCAGCACTCACGTCAACCAGCACCTCCCGGTGATTTCTGCCACCAAAGTGACCAAGTAACGGTGTGGACAGTGTGTGGGGGGTTGGGACACGAGGTACATGGGAGACTCAGGGGCTAGTAAGAACATAGTGAGAATTAGGATCATGGGGTCCAGGCTGGAACAGGAGGAGAGAGTGACAGGAGGAAACCGATGGACAGGAAAACCAAGAGGGGTCAGGGATCTGTAACTTC